CCTTCCTTCCATCCTTCCTCCCTTCCTTCCTCCCTTCCTCCCTTCCTTCCTCCCTTCCTTCCCTTCTTTTTTTTTTTTTTCCCTGTCTACTAGTAGTTATATACTCTTAGGCAACTAGGCACCACTTGTGTTTGCAGTCCTCACCAGTCCCTGGCAGCCATGGTTTCACTCAGCTCTCACAGTTTAACTCTTTCACTCAGCAGTGATCCCTCCCTGGCAGGGACACCATCTAAATTGCCTTCCTCAGATTTCATTTCTATGACTTGACTGCTGGCGACACGGTGCTTTACAAACCTTTTGAGCTGAGATTAGTCCTCCCTGAAAGGATTGTGGTGATGGTTTTGATCATTTGGAAAATAAATATATCTTGCTGAAGGCAAGTGAGCACCAGGGTGGGATGTGGGCTCAGACTTCAGCAAAAGTGTGAACCACGGGCTTGTCTTAGAGCTCGTGCTTAAGAGCAGCTGATTTCCATGCAGTACTTAAATTGGAAACAAACACTTTGGTCCTTTGCTAGGTTGTGGGGGAGACTGCCTCCTCCTAAAATGTTTTTTCATGTCCTGATCTCCATGACCTTTCCTTCTAGAGCCTGGTTTGGAAGCCTGCCCCTGTGCCTTCTGCTCTCCTACGCGCTGCTCTCTCCGCCTGCTGCTCCTCTCACGTGTCCTCCTTTCCTCCTCTCTCCAGGTGATATGCACGCTGGTGGCGGCTTTCTTGCACTTCTTCTTCCTCTCCTCTTTCTGCTGGGTGCTGACCGAGGCTTGGCAGTCCTACATGGCCGTGACAGGCCGGTTACGGAACCGCATCATCCGCAAGCGCTTCTTGTGTCTTGGATGGGGTGAGCTGCCTGGGGCAGGGGGAAAGTGCTGTCCCCTCCTTGGGATGTGGAGCAGAGAGGGTCTGGGCTACAAGAGAGACTAATATTCTGCAGAAGGCTTGGCAGAGGGTGCCTGTAACCCTTTTGCGTGTGCTAAGAAGGGCTGAGATGGTTAAAAATAACACAAGCAAGAGTCATAAGCCCTTCCTGCTGCCCAGTGCACCCAAGGGTCACACAAAATAGATGAGTTGAGAGGGGCTGAATTTTCAAAAGGTGTGCTGGGGGTGATTTCTCTTGGGTTTCAGTCTCTTCCTTGCTTTCTCCTTTTCTCTGTCTCGCTGTCTCCTTTCATGTGCAACCCAGAGTGAGGCAAGCTCTGAAATCCCGTCTCCATGGCAGCAGGGCCTTTCGTAGACAAATAAACTATGAGACTGGTGCAGCTGCTTGTAACTAATTTTTCTCCCTCTGCCTCTTCCGTATGTTTAATTTATTAGCCTTAAATGATGCATTCTGTAGTAGAAAACAAACACAAACCCATAACCTGGACTTCCAAAGCAATAACAAGTGTGTATTTGAAAGGAGCTGTTAAACAAAAAGTTGTTCAAAAGCGAGCAGGCAAAAAAGAGAAAGGGAGAGAGAAAGCGTTGTGTAGCTGGGCTGTAGTAGTGTCTTGTTTTACTACTAAAGTCAAGCGTTTCACCCCAGGCAAGATATTTCTGATGCTTACGAAGCGCCCTGATGTGATTTATTCTGGCACATCAAGAGCTGTCCTCATTCCAGCACCTGCAGCCCTTTCAGTTTTCACTCCTAGCTTTTGCTTAGATAGAAAATAAATTGTGTTATTGAAATATAGTGTTTGTGTGTGGCAAGAGCATAGCCACAGACATGCAAAGCGCGCGCCCGTGTGTGTTCATGCAGATGGTTATAGACCAACACTCTGTGACTCAAGGAACGTCAGGGTTATCAAATGCAACAGACAAATAGCTTTTCTAGGTAATAAAAAGGGATTTTTCTGATTTGTAGAGGCTGGGACAGATGGGCGTGTTCGCCAAGGGAATTTTGGATGGGTAACATTCACATCTGTAGTCTGTACAGATCGGAAAAAAAAACCAAAACAAACCACCTTACATATGTAGAAGCATAATTTGCACTGCTAGTAAGATGTAGTCATTTCTAAGCTAGTATGCACTGGTTGATAAATGATGCACCAAAACCATTTGGAATAGGTTAGGGTGAGAAACGAAGAACACTTGCCAATTAAGGCAGCAAGAGAATTTCTGATATCCAGCATCCTTCTAGACTTCAGCTGTAGAGCTGGGATTAATGGCACTTCTAGGAGGAAAGAGGCTGAAAATACGTTTTAAAGAGAATAATCTGAAATAATTAGCACAATTCGCTTTGTCATGGGCTGATTCTCCCCCTTTTCCCCCCTTTGTGTATTAGCATTTCTCTAAGCCCTTGCTCGAGACATCTTTGCCAAGTTCTCAGCTGCTGTCAGCTGTAGCTCATTGAAGCTATGGTGGTTTTCATCAGCCGTGAGGTTTAGTCCTTGTTTGTTTGTTCTCCTATTGGGTATGCAACTCTGCCTTCCCAGAAAAGAGTTTTTAGCCATTAGAATTTTTAGTATTATTATTTAGGACAGACAAACTGTTCCCTAGAAACAATACAGTCATCATATTTAGCCCCAGTAAAGAGGAAATAATTTTGTCAGGCTTTTTACAGCCATGTCATAGTTTCCACAACTGGATTTTTAATGCGGCTGTAGCTCAGGCTCTGGTCTTCAGTTGTTCATAATAGTTATGGCTCTTGGTAGTTATTAACAAACAACATTTGCGAGTGGGCCATGAGGAACACATGATGTGATTCTCCTCTGACACAGCAGGACAAAACTCTCCAAAGTTTCTAACAGGTTTATTTGGAATTGTGAATGTAAAATTCACTTTTGGCAGAAAGCCCCCCGAAACCTTGCCGATGACTAGGTGGCATTAGTGACTGCCTAGAAGTCTGATACAATCCACACACAATAGATGGAACAGGCCAGTTAGGAATAACTTTCTTTCAAATAATCAAAAAATAGATTAAAAGGGGTTTTTTGTTGTTTTTTTGTTTGTTTGGGGTTTTTTTTTCCCAATCTAATCACATCTACTTGCAATTAGACTATTACCAACTCTCCCAAGGCGGAGGAGTACAGCACCCATTGTGGTGCCCTTAGGCTTAGCCACCATGGTGTAGCTGCCACCTCAGAAAATGCTGCTTGTACAGATCCATTTTCAGCAAAAGCTGGGGCTCCTCCCCAGCCTTGGCACGAGTCAGTCCCTGTAAGCTGATGAGTTCACAGCCCGAGTCTGTATTTCTGCATAATTACCACGTCTAAGAGAAGCACTCTGCAAAGAACAAGTTGCTATTTTTGGCAGAGTCTTAGCCAACTTTCCTCTTTCACAGGGCCTCTCGCATCAACCTATACTCCAGAAAAAGTCCTCTCACGTGTGGTTTCTTGGTGTGCTTGCCATGGGATGCCATATTGATAGCTTTGTAGTGAATACAGCACCCAGGATATATCCAGATGAGGTATGAAGGAGGCTCAGCAAGAGGAGAAATAGTCAATTAGGGGAAAAAAAAAATATAATAAAAGAAGACACATCTTTTAAACCCACTGCCTGTTGGGTTTGGGCTGATCAAATGTGAGTTGTGCTTGGAAATCTCACATGGGAAGAGAAACAATTCACTTTATGATAACTCTTAAATGCTGCATATTCCAGCCAACTTGGCCTTATACCTTCCAGCTGGCTGCAAGACCCTCACTATTAATCAATCTTGGGATGATTTTTATTGCTGAATGACCACCTCTCCAGCAGGGTTATCGTTTGGATGCTGTGCCTGCACATCCCTTCGATCTACAGTGTCTTCTGCAGTCACCTGCCATGACCTCTACAGCATACTAATTAGGGTCTTTTCAAGAAGCACTAATCTTACCTGGCTACTGATCCTGCTAATTCTTAAAGGGATTTGCCCATCTTTAGCATGGAGACAGCTTAATTCATCATGTCACAAGGAGGAAGGTGATAAAAAGCCACACGGAGACCCCTGTAGCTGAAGAACCAGATGTTACTAGCCGATATACAGACATTTCTTCAGGGAAAGGGGAGAGCTGGTCGGGGATGAACCAGAAAAGTACTCCATCTCCTCCACAGAACCTTGAGCAGTTTATCATGACAGGGATAAGAAGGATCAAAAGGCTATTAGCAAGATGTAGTGTCTTTTGCTAGTTTTGATTGTGCCTAGATGTTCAAGGACCCAACAGTTTCAGAACTTTTTGTGAGTTTTAGGCCAATATCCAGCAGGTTGCACAATGATCAGCAGGTTTTCTTTCTACTCCTCACTCTAATTTGATGGAAACTTCTAGCAGTAGGATCAAGGCTGTAGCTTCACCCTCTTATGCACCCAAGAAATGGCACCCCGTGCTGGCACCGCTCGCTCATGATGCTCTGAGGATAAATTGTACTTTGTACATTACGGCATCCCAGCCACGGACTAACTTGTTCATCCTTTGCAGTGCTTGTAGTGGAGAGTGTTTTCTCATGTGCAGCTCGTTTCTCTTAGTTTATTTCCCTTTTGGTGTCCAAAAGGGAGCAAGTCTCTGGCAAGAGTACCCTGTCTTGCAGAAAGACCTGATGTTCTGATACTCTTTTCCATTGTTCAGAGGGATCTGTTTTATTGTAGATCATGGCCCAGCACTTACTGTACTTGGTAGGGATGGGGGGAATTCAGTTTCCATCATATATTATGTTAAGAGCAAACATAGCCTTTAATCTCCTCCTTGCTATCTTTTTTGGGTTGGGTTGTGGCTGAATATTCCATCTTCAGGAGACACTGTTAGATATTCTTGGCCAACCCGTGTACCTAAGAACAAGATAAATATATTCTATGCATCTGTATGTACTGTCAGTCCCCACACAACTGCCGAGACCACAGCAGGATATGAACTGATTACAGCTGATGGCATTTACTTCATTAGCGGAGGTAACAAGGGTTCATGAGTTTGGCTCCGAAGGTCCTGAATTCAGTCTCTGCCAAAGACCCAGGCTGGGACAGATGGTGCTAGAGTAACACTGGAAAGAACGGGGTATAATAGCACTTGAGTGGGAGAAGAGCTGCGCGTATGCTTAAATGACCAATTGTCTCTTGTTTCATTTCCACAGGGCTCCCTGCCTTGGTGGTTGCCATTTCCGTGGGATTTACTAAAGCCAAGGGGTACGGCACCGTGAACTAGTGAGTAAAGGAGCTCTTCTTCCTTTTTCTTCCTGTCTCACCCTCCATCCTTTTTGTAAAAATCCAGACACAGAAGCCAGGGTAGAAGCTAAAGCCTGGTGTGCTGCCTGTGTCAGAGGCAAGCAGGGATGATGGGAGAGGAAGGAGCCATCCTGCCTCCCTGCCTCCTGAAGCCATCAGCTGGCCAAGAAGGATTGTGTATTTCTTTAAAAACAATTTCACAGGGACTACTTCAGTTTAACTGTTGCATATATCCCATCACTTTGATCTAAGTACTTCCTACTTAGAGATTAAAAAAAAAAAAAAAAAGGGGGGGGGGAAATGTAGAATATTTAAAGTTTAGGATGTTTAAAAATTAAAAATAGCTTTTGTGTTTATCTGTTTAACGGTTCACTTGATTAGTTCCAGGTTTTCAAAATAGCTCGGCTTAGTTTTACGCGCCAGAACGAGCGTGAGTTTTTCAAGCCAAGGTTTTGAAAGCAATCTGAATTTGCCTGTTTTCCGAATTCCAAAGGATTTCCCTTTAGGAAACTTTTATTTGCATGTAATAAGGGAAGGAAGATAGGGTAGAAATAATAGAGTGAGACTGTGCAGAGGTAAAAAATACTGTAAGGCAAGGCTAGTGTCGCTCAGAGCTGAGGATTAGTGGAACTAAAAAAGAAAAAAAAAAAGTGTTTTTTTTTTCCACTGTGTTCTGAAAAAGATAGCTTAGAAATTTTATGCACAGTTGCAGCCAAAAGCTAATATTTTATTTTACAATAAATCAGGCCCTTCCCTTCTGCAGCCTGGCATTATCCAGAGTCTTCCTGGCCAGTGTTTTTGCATCCTGCGTGAGCAATGTTTAAGAGAAAAGCTGAAGATGTGGCCAGATGAGGGTTCGATAGTTCCACTGAGAAAATGTCACGTGGAACACCTGCTCTTTCTCAATTCCCACCATATTCTGCACATCCGCGACCAAATGGTTTGGGGTTTGTGTTTCGATTGCAGGAGAGCATTAACACAGCACAGCAGTGCAAATTCGCAGTTTGCTTTGCAGTCTAAATTACTGCAATCTGAATTACTGTAAAATCCAGAGGGCTCAGGAAAAGGTGGGTTTGTCAAATGCAAATCCACAGATACAATTCCTGAAGCCTGTGCTGGCATCAGGATGCGTTGGCTGTACCTGTCCTGATTCTCCTGACCCAACTCAGGTGACTTGGCTCCAGCGTGTCCTGGTGGAGAGGGATGCAGTGCTTGCTGTATGACTCAGAGGAGGACAACACACCTCCTGGCTTCACAAGCGCCTCTGAGATCCCAAATGCCCTTTTTTTTTTCTGTGGGTCTGCTGGTTCTGGCACTTCGCTCCATGCAAGTCCATGAGAACAATTCCTAATGAACAAACAGCAGGGAGGGAGGTACTAAGTATTTCTGCTTCCTTTCCTGTTTGTAGAAGGGTGGGAATTGGTGCAAAAAGCTTGGTAGCTTCTTCCCCATTAATGCTGAAGGGCCACCACAGATTTTTGTGGGCAATGTTGACTACACAAAAGAGCCTGGGTGGGGAAGGGAGGAACGTGCAGGGATGCACACCCTATTTCACTGCCCTGGACCACTGTGTGCCAACATCTCCCCGCCCCAGAGCAAAGCCCTCCCAGACTGCAGCCAAGAGGGTGTCAGTGCGTGACAAAACCTGCTGGACTCCTGCTTTGCTGTCAGACTGGCACACCAAGGAGGTGGCCAACAGGCCGTGCTGACTTTCTGTCATTCCCAGGGGATGTGTAACCACACTAGCTCTCTTCCTTTTGCTGCTAATCCTCGGACATCTTTCCGCCCTGAGGACTCTGTTGCTCTTTGTATCCAAGGGCTGGATGCTGCCTGGGAGATGACAGAGGATCCTGTGATCCCGACAGCAGCCGCAGCCCAAGGGACAGCGTTTCCTAGCTCTTATGTCAGGGTGCTTGGCCACCAAAATAGCAGGGGAACTTCACACCCCAGTAAGTCCAGTTTGGCCCTCCTTTCATCTCCCTTCCACGCTGCAGCCCAGCGTGTGGTTAAAGCTGGTATGTCCCAGCAAAGTCCTGAGAGGAGCAACAGTTCCTCTCAACCATGGAGAGCCCATCAGACATTCACAACGCTGCCATCTCGTCATAATTCCTGCTGTTGGCTTCACCAAGACCTGGAGCTAAACGGAGATGACTTGAGGTCACACACTCCAGCATCTCTGCCCCAGGCAGCGTGGAGGTCCCATGGGCGCTGGTAAAGTGCTCCTTGTCCTGTCTTCATGCAAGGAGGGGAAGTGCGGTGCATGTTGCTGCCAGGTGGATGGCATGGTGGGTTCACGAGCCATGGTGCTGAGCACAGAATTGTGCTGAGCATCGCTATAACTAGAGTTACATTTACACGTTGGAGCGTTTCAAAGCAGGAAACAAATATTCACGTGGACCGAGCTAGGCAGGGTGTGCCAACAGACTGCAGTGCATTCACACTTAGTCCTGTTATCCTGCTCGAAAGGCATAAAAGCTCTCTTACATTTATGTGTGTGAAGGCTCTTGGTTTCATCTCTCCTCTAGACCAAAGTCAGCCTTACATAGCAGTAATTTCAGCTGAACTCCAAAACTTGAGGTTGCTCAGCCCTAGATTTAACACTCTCCAGTACTAAAGGCATATGAACAGAATACAGGCTTGGATCAAAGCTTGTCCCAGGATCTGGCCATTACAGAAGTATATGAGGTAGTTGCAAATCTTGGAGTTAGAGCTCAGGAGGTATTTTAGCTTTGTCTTGAGTGAATACAGGTCATGCACGGGGCATTTCAAATGGGCAGTGGCAGACTTTCAAAGGCACGAAGTTTCCATCTTGCAGAAGGAAGAAAAGACATTAGGCACAACCCATCCCTTCCTGTGAAGAGCTGACATGATAAACCACAAGGGACTTCACAGTGTCTTTCAAAGCTTCTTCCAACTCTGCAATTTCTGGATGCTAAGAGCTGTGCATTAGCACCCGTTGGTTTTCTTGTGGCGATGGGCATTAAGACAAAGCCGAGCTCTGATACTTAACTGACCACAGGATTTGACACTCAACATCAGGGTTTTTTTTCCTCATCCCACTCAACAGTGGTAAAAAAAGCCCTGACATCCATCTATGGGACCTGGTCATGGGAGCATTTTGGGGACACCTGCAGCTGTTGAAGGCATTGCAGCACTAATCTTGGGGTTACAGACTCCCAGGGCAGTGGCGGTGGAAGGGACAATCTGTGTCACAATGACTGAAACTGTTCATCTGCAGAGTATGCCAAGGTGGCCAACTGCAGTGGAGCAGAACAAGGGCAGAGGGGTCTACCTGGGCCCTGAGGAAGATGTCACCCAGCTTTGTCCTGTGGGTTTTTTTTGGTTTTTTTTTTTTGTATGTGGGATGAAGCTATTCTGTAATGATAAAACCACAACTGAGCAGCAGTATGGAGGCTGGTCCCATCAAGACGTGGTGGCAGTTGAAGGGTTGGCCATGAAGGGTGGCAGTTGAAGGGTTGGCCATGTCTCCAAGCTGTAATGCAGACTGATCAGAGGCAGTGCTTAAGTGTGGGAAGGTTGTAGATAATATTTAATATTTAGCCTTGAGCTGGCCACACTGGACCACCGAATGGTAAGATGAGATGGGAGAGAGAGGCTCAAATTAAATATTGAATATGTGCTGCAGGATCTGGACTGTGCCCAGCAGCCATTCCCTCCAAGGCCTCTATTGATCAAGACTCTACTTCTATGAACTCTCCATCTGCAAAGAGGGGAGAAGGGCACAAGGGGATTTTACCTCTTTCTTATCTGAACAGCATTTGGAAGGAGATTTTGCGGTTGTTTGAAGAGCTGCAGGGGCAGGATACCGGCTGTACTTCCAGTCTCAGAGAAAGTCTTAGAGATAATGGAGGTCTAGAGGACCCGCCACTGCTCACCTCCTCGTATTAGTCTGAATGCCTGTGTAATAACTCTCCTGTTAGCTGGTACTCCAGGGACTGACTCTGGACCATTAAAGCTTGACAAACTGCCTCCTAAAGCTTGAACTAAGTCATTGAGGTTGTGCTGCTTGTAGCTGGGAACTCATATCCTTCCCCATAAGAGACCCTACAAAGTTGTCTGAGAGCAGTGCCAGGACACAGCAAATTTCCAGGGGTCCTTGTGTGTCACTGACTTCTGTCACCCACAGGTATCTCGGCAGCTTCTATGTTAATCTATAAATTAACACTGTTGGAACAGTCCTGATTCCCAGCTGTAGCCTCAGCTATACAAATACGTTGGCTGTTGCATTGTAGCTGCTTAATTTTGCACACGATCAAGGTGAGACCTGTTGCTGGCAGGGCTGTACCGCGTAGTCAAGAACGTCCTGCTGGAAGTCAGCTCTTCACAGGACCAAGAGAAAAGCCATCCATCTCACTTCTTTGCTGTGGCAGATTCACAAAAAGATCAGATGTTTTGCAAAGAGGTCTTGCGCGTTGAACACGAGGGCTGCTGTCAGTCGGGGAAGCACTGCTTAGAAATAGTAGTCTGGAGCTGCTGAGCATTGTTAAAACCATTCGCTTACTCCCTTCCAGTGGTAATTTTATTTAAGAGATCTGTGAAGAGATGCCTTGGCAAGCACTGGGGAACCTCTCAGCAAAATGCAAATATTTCTGTGCCTTGTAGGCACAAGGCTAAAAGCATCTCCACTAGACTAATACATCGCTGGAGTTTGCTGTCGATTCCCCTTCTTGGGTATCACTTCACCCTTTCCCTTCCCTTGCTGTCAGCCACCACCTCTGCCAGCCTTGGAAATGCTTCAGTGAAGCGCGGTGGCAGGGAGGTTGGGCAGCCAGAAGGGATAAGGACCAGTGCTTGGTCATGTGTAGACTTGCCTTCAGAAAGCCTGATGCTCAGAGGGGAAGAGGGGCTGCCAGGGACCTGACATGAACGAGAGCCTTTGCTGCACCAAGTTCTCATGGCTAATTGGAGTGTGGGACTGTCAGCTCCTTTCTTTGGCTCAGCTGTTGGTTGGAAGAGACC